TATATGGGATGGGTGGATTGATTTCAACCGTTGGATGAGGCGAGATGGATGGCTTGGATCTGCAGGCTTAAAAGAAACGTCGTCGTTTGGCTTAGTAGGGGTCAGAATTGGTTCGGGTAACGGGTCAGGTAATGGGGTTATGGGTGAGAGATCCAGACCGTTGGATCAGCTTGGTTTGAACGGTCGTGATGGATTAGTATTGAAACGACGTAGTCTTGGTGTTAAGCTACGTCGTTTTGTGGCTTGGGGGTGGGCTGTTCGGACCGGTGGCTTGGGTCGTTCATTTGGGCTTCAGGTTTTGAAATGGGAACGGCCCAAATTCATTTAAAACAAATTTTTACCCCCTTTTTTTTTATTTCTAATTTCCTAAATACACAACCTAATTAAATAAAACCAAACACCATTAATTAACATATTTATTTCACGCATATAAAATGTTAAAAGTAGGTAAAATTAAACAAGGCAACAAATCGGGACAAAAAAATGCGTATTTTGTGATTTTTCATTTAACAATCGGATTACGGTTCACATTACGCATGACACATACATTTTCGTATTTTGTTTTAATAAAAATGGGCAAAAATCATAAAATAATTATCAAAGTGCCATGTAAAATCCAAAATTTGTACAGCAGGACCATTTGTTATTTTTTTTTAATTCTTTTGGAGCGATTGTTGCGTAAAACAAAAATCACGTGCTCACAGTGATAGGGAGAAATTTTTATAACTTGGCTAGATGCGAACAAGTGTTGTTGCATATTAAATAATACAACTCATACCAAATTTTATTTTTGGGAGTTTTGTTCTCATAACCAATGATTTAGCTATAATTGGAGGCAACAACTTCTGCTAAACCAACTTGGATTTAAACCAGTATTATTAAGATAAATCATCATAATTTATATTCTGGAATTGTGCTCTAATAACTTGAGCAAGCAATCTTGCAAAAACAAACTGCAAGTTGATAACAAATGCACATATGACCATAGTATAGATGCATCTATTAAAATCATATAATAATAAACGGTCCACATGGAAGCTGACTGGGCCCATAATATATCACCTTTTATTCCTTCCAGAAATCAAGGGATTCAATCCCAACCTTTAAGTGGTATATCATGAGAATAAGCAGCGCAAGAGAATTCTTGAAGAAACTTTTATTACTTCAATATATGCCAATGTAATTCTCAGTTAATTTTTCGCATCATAATTGAACCGAGATGGTCAACTGGTCATGCCAATTAATATTTGTTTTAGTAAACCTCTAGTTTACTTGTGGCATATGATTAAAGCATCATGCTTATATTTTTGTGTAGTACAAATAGAAAGAAGATCGGGTAACCTTTCATATTTACCCGGTATGATTATAGAAATATGAAGATATTCAATCTTTCTTTCATTTATAGTCTCAATATGCCAACCACTTTGACTTATACATTTGAAACTCAAAAAGTTTCTTTTGAGACTTTACAATATCAATATAATGAATAATTTTATTCATCCGGGTAATAACAAATTAATTTTTTCGGAGCTCTTAATAACTTTTGTACTACAAGATCTTTTATCATACCATTTATATGGTAAATGTCTCCTTCAAAGAGAAAAATATATCATAATAAATTGTCATGGTCAAAATCATTCTAAGCAAAATCATTTCTTGCTTTAATTTTGCCTTTAATAACTTTTTATAAGGCATGACAAAATAACTTTTGGCGTATCACATGTACGCGACCAATGACATATTCATGTAACCACATAATAATATTTATTCTCTTTATTTCACTCAAACCTCCCTTAGAGGTGAGTTGTGTGGTATTCATATAATCATGAATTGCATGTATTTATTCATTATTTTTATCACATATTGCCACATTCAACTTTAGGTTTGCATTCTCAATGTTTATCATAAGTCACATTCTCTTCAAGTAATGGATCATAATCAGTGACGTGCTTTATTATTTTCATACCAATTTGATGGTAAACATTGCCTTTACATTTTGAAGGACTATTTTGAGAACCCTTATTGTTCTTCTTTTATAATCATAGTGATGATTATTATTATTTTGATATTTGGAACGCCCACGTTCATTGTTCAACTACTTGTCTTCATTGAAATTTATTATGCACTGCTATCACATTCACTTCAAGAATGGAGCAAATCAAGTGGGACAATTTTCATGCCTTTTCATGAAAAAATATATTACTTTTCTTTAGTCATCATTATATAATCAATATGGTACATTGGGACTCAAACTCAATGTCTTACCAATATAAAGACATGTTAGGTCATAATAAATTGGGACTCAAACCCAACTCTTATCATTATGGAGCATCAGGACTTGATCTCGATGTCTTACCCTCAATCAATGGCATAATAGGCTAAACAATATTGAGATTCATTCACAAGCCTTAATTTCAATCACATGCCAAGAAAGTTATACACAACTAATTTGCAACTTAGCAAATCAAATTTGCTTTCTTAAATAAGTGTACAAATTTCAAATCAGCGTAAAGCTTTATTAATTATTTGTAGCATCTATATGAAATACAACCGTTTGTAGTCAGAATATTTCTTCTAAATTCTATTAGAGTTTAAAAGGATCATAAAATCATTGTCATAATATTTATTGAGTCTCTCTCAAAAATATTATTATTTTCGGGGTATATCCTACCTATTGGATTTGATTTAACGCCATGACTTTCTTTCACTCAATTCAACCAAGCAATNTTGAAGATAGTTAACACACAAATATGCATAAGACAATTTATATAAAATATCCTTGGTTACCATGGCATGCATCATATCAACAATTAACTGCTACTGTGATTTTCACATAGAGAACTTCGAAAATTTTGTTCCATTCATGCGATATAAAAGATGTAATATTAATATGTGCTTATGCAATATAGGTGTAGTACGAAGTTGTGTGCATATGAGATTTTAGAGGAATGACAAGTATAAGATAATCATACCTTCTTACAATTCATTACTTACCATATGTAGTTTCTCTTTACATTTAACCATGTTATGTATAGCTTCTAATTGTAATCTTTTCGGATGTAGGAAAAATTTTGTAGATATATATACAATTGGTTAGAGACTCGTGCTGATAACGTGTTATGAAATAAAAGCAATTTAGTAAAACATGAACAAGAAATAAAGACAATTTAGTAAAACATGAACAAGAAAGAGATAGAGAGAAAGGAAGAAATTTTCTTCTTCAATTGTGTGTATTTTCCTATCTATTACAAGGCCTTTATATAGGCATGAAAAGTGAAGAAAATATGTCATGGAATATGTCATTGAACATAGAAAATATGTCATTGAATATGTCATTAACCATTTGAGAGAAAGATCATGGAGGAAGAATAGACATCCACCATATTTTGATTTTTATCATAACATAAAGGAACTAAACAAAGAAAGTTACTATCCAAAATTTTCCCAAGCTCCCTTTCCAAGGCAAGCCCATGTTTGAAAGAAAACTTCTTAAACCTGTATAGCAGTGTCTTACTTCTTTTTCATTTCTTTTCTTTCATTTTGCTTTGCCAAAATTTGCCCTTCTTAAAACACCTTTCTTGTATTTAACAACTGAGGTTCTCTTTAAACACGTCTTGGATCCTTGATTATGTGGACATCACAAGATTCAAAGGAAACCTAATAAGAAGCAAAGTGACAGTCTATGCCTAGCAGTGCCAATTCGACTCATTTGGACTACTAACCTAGTTGCCTAATGCAAGACTCTTTTGTCCTACGTTTTTGGAGTTCCCATAAGTTATGTAGGGTTGCTGCAATACTGATTGATCCCAAAATCTTTCGAAGTTTCCTTCTTTATTTGGCATCTGATATTTGCTTTTATCACATTTGTTCTTTGTCTTGTACAAGGAGGGGGAAAAAAGGATTCAACAGATTGAAAATGACAAACTAAAAGACTCGTGTTTGCATCAAATTCTAGCTCCAAAAGAACCTGAGATGATGACTCGAAATCTCTAAGATAAAAGTTAATCAATTGTTCAAATTGAACATATGCCAAATAGAAACATAATGATGAATCTTTTAACATAAAAGGGCCTTCAACCGAGGTGATTTCAAATAGAAGAAACTAACAATTCTCAGAATGAAACTAATCATCTGACCAAGATAAAGCAGAACTCGGGATGGTTTTACAGGAACAGAACACCATATTGCAGGGAAGAGAAAACGTCAATGTAAAACATACTACAAAAATTGGCATGTGTTTTTGAACGAACAAGGAGGATTCCTATTTCTCGTTGGCATGTGTTTTTAATGAACGAGGAGGATTCCTATTTCTCTTTATTTGTTACAAATTCATCAGATGCTTAGGACAAGTCCGGATTCCTCTCTTGCATTGCCAAAATAATGACATTCTGAGAAGCAAAATTATATGAACTCCTACGGTACCAATTTCACGAACCACTTCATACCCTACAAAACTATCTTGCTTCTGATTGAGTCTCTCTGGATGTTTTCTCTTGGACATTTGTGTTTGTGCCCTGGATTTGCATGTTTTTAAGTTTCTCTGCGTTAGCCATCTCAAGAAGTGCTTGCCTTTGCATGGCCTCCATCAGCTCATCTTTTCTCCTTTCGTCTCCCTTAAGCTGCATTTTCATTACTTCCTCTGCTTGCTGGTCTAAAGGCTTAAAATATTCATGTATCGCAACCTCCTGAAAATACTCAACCGTTTAATCAAGCAATTGATCAAGACCAGAAAATCTTCAATAACACAAGGGGCACGTTATATAAGTAGCAGCTATTGATATCGACCCTACTTTGCATTAAGAACAATTAAGGTCCTCCTAACACCAAAACGCAACAAGTGGTTCTGATTCAACAGATATTCAAATATAAAGAACTGATTAACTCATGAGCATGTTGGCTTAGTTGCATGGCTCCTCCTTTTTTTTCCCCTAAACGCTCTTCCAGCTTCAAAGTATATATTCAAATCATATTACAGAGAGATTCTGTCCTAAAAACAATGTTTTCAAGCCCACACTAGGTCAGCCAGTTGAACCTGGAAAGCCCAGGCAGAGTAACATCTGCTCCACTTTTGCCTGTAAAAATAACACCTTCCATCTGTGAATATATTGAATCGCCCATCTGCAGAAAGTAAAGGGAAGGCTAGGAGTCCAGACTTTCCAAGAAGAGTGAATGTGTAGACAACCAGAAAAGGGAGATTGATTTGGAGAGGGAGGAAAAAAGAGAGTAAATGCAGTTTCTTTTTTCTTTGTAAGTAAGTGGGAAGTGCAAGCTTTGTCTAAGGGCTCATTTTTGGTATTGGCCATTATTGAAAAATAAAAGAGACACCAAAGCAGTTAGGAGAAACACGAGTCTAGAAAGAAGTAGATTGATGTCAGTACTCAGTAGATCTCTTGACACTTTGCTACTGCAAACTGAAGCAAAAAAAGAAAGCAAGACTTCCACATAACTACTTTTTTGGTCTGTCTCAAAAAAAATTGACAGATTTTCTCTCCCTCCGACAATCCAAACTAATATAACAAACCAGCTTTGTATAAACAAATTCATACGAAGGTAAAATCATAGGGGACGCAAAATATTGTGGCCCATGTTTAGTCAGTATGTCCATTACAGCTCTATCCGACAAGTCTGTCCTGTTAGGAATTTTACCAAATCGATACAAGCAAGGGCGGATTTAGGGGAGCGGAAGGGGGTCGCCGAAAAATTACACTGTATATATAAGGCAAAATCTGGTTTTTACCTCTATGTATTAAGTTTTGAACCCCCTTAACACAACCCGAAAGTGTAGTTTAGTGGTCAAGGAGGTTCAAAACCTTCATAAGGTTATAGGTTCAATTCCCACTAGCTACAAAAAAAAATTTGAACCCCCTTCGTGGAGATACTGTCTCCGCCACTGGATACAAGCTTATTATACACTAACCACTCGACACTACGACATTGCTGAAGTGTTAAAAAGGACTAGTAAGGTGACTGACGGCAGCATGTTTAAAAGTAGTTACTAAGAAGAATAAGCTCCAGAAAATTGTGAGCTTACAGTATCTTCTAACTTCTTATTCAAAGCTTGCATCTCTTCCACCATGCGCTTAACTTCTGATAAAATAATCTGTTCGGGAATCTTCCTTACTGCTGCCTTCCTCTCTTCCGCCTGATCAACACACAGTCATACAGAAGAAACAGAAATCAGAAAAAAAACGTTTACGAAACAAAAATCAAAGCAATTTTCCAACTAGAAGCCTCTAAATTTGTCAACATTGTCCAATTACATTATTGATAAGGAAATGTTAATACTATTGACCAAAAATAACAGTAACTTTCACATTTCTCTATTTTTCCGACAGAAAAAGTTCAATTTTCAATAAAAAAATTTAAAAAGGAAAGAAGAAGAACCTGTTGAAGACGCTGTTGAAGTTGCAATCGATAAGATCGAATTCTACGCTCTTCATAACCTGACAGAACCCTAATATAGAACATTGCTTTTCTCCCGAATTCTATAAGCTTCTTCATTTGCATTCTTTGATAACAAATTTCACAGCTCTAATTAAAGGATAGCAGAAAATTTGCTCTAGTAAATTTATGTTTTCGAGTTTGAGGTATTGAATTCACGGTCAAGCTGATGAAGAAGACTGAACACTCTCTCTCTCAGTTTTACTGCAATATGGACCATTAAACCGGGTCGCTCCGGTCTGCTCCGCAACTATGATCCGCCTAGACCCATCTTTTTCTTTTTCAATTTACTGGAGCATCACTTTTGAAAAAAAAAAGTTTATTTGAGGGATTGGAGGACTCAGTGAATAAGGAAAAACATTTGAGTGTAAGGGTGTGTTTGGTATAACGGAAAATATTTTCCGTGTTTTCTTGAAAAATAAGTAATAATCTTATTCATTTTCCGGTGTTTGGTATGCAAATTAAGGAAAATAACTTCTCAAGAGTATTCATAAATAATTTAGATACAATAAACATGAAGCCATAAACTTTCGAACCATCAACCTTCCGAACTCACAAATTTCACAAACTTCTGAATCGCTAAACTTTCGAAACCACGAATTTTCGAACCCGTAGACTTTATAATTTCTAACCCGTAAACTTTCAAACACATAAACCTCTGAACTCATAACTTTGAAACTTGTAAAATTTCGAACCTATAAACCGAAAGATGAAAAAACTAAAACTGAAAATATATATAAAAAAAAAATCCCGGGGGGG